CTTGATTAAGTTCACTTTTACCACATATAATAGAGATTATTTCTATAATTCCAAATTCTTGGAATTAGAATATTATCCTAGTAAAATTTCTCATTTTATAATTTTACCCCTAATTTTCGATTTTTATTCCACCAAGCCATAATAATTAAATTAAAAACTAAATGCTTTTAATATGCTATTTAAAACACACAAACATTTTATTTACACTATAGACACCACATATTTTACAAATTTTCAAAACTGCCCACTTTTAATTAATTATTACAAATTGCTCCAATTTTGCATAGTTAAACATATGTCCTAATTAAGCAATTATTTCTAAAAAATAACTTAACCACTTATCAAAATGAGGTTCCACATGCTGTGAACAGTCCCCAGAACTTCCAGTTTTTACAGATTCGCCCCTCAACTTGGTGAAATTACAAATTTGCCCCTAAAGCTTATAAACTCATTTTTTTCAACCGGTTTGATTTCCTTTAATTAATATTACTTAATAACCCCCAAATTAACACTAAAAATCATAAAATAACACTGTTCACATCCCCTCTTCATTTCTGTAAATTCGAAATTATCCCTTATCTTGACAAGAAAAATTACCAAAATACCCTTTTTATGCCTAATTTTACCATTTTCACACTTTTCCTACTCAAAATGCAACAAAACCTTTTAGTAATCTCTCAAGGACCACCCAAGCATGTGAAAAGCTTTTTACTTCAAGCTCAACAATCACCATAGCTTAACATACAACTATTGAAACTTGCTCACACATAGAATAAGATTCAAACTAAATAACAAACAATCAATCAACCAAGATCAAGAGTACTAAATAAATAATTCTAGCTTAGTCCTTAGAGTTTTCACTTACCCAAAGTGAAATCTTCAACAAAGCAAGCCTCTAACCACCTTGAAATCAAAATAGATAGTAAAAAAAATTAACAAGTCTTATTCTTTAGAAAACAACAAAGCTTATCTGATAAAGAAAAAGGAAAGGGAAGTCTATCAATATACCTTATCAAGAAATTAGATTGAAAGTGAGCTTGAACTTTGATTTTTTTGTTGAAAGAGAGTGGAAAAAAGAAAAATTTGCAACTTAAAGAAGTGGAAGGAAGTTTCACGCCCAAGAAGAAGAAGAGATGCTTTTTAGCCTCGTCTTCCAAAATTTTGCCACAATGAAGAGTATTTTGGGGTCACATTAAATGGCTTGGGTTAAAAACAATAATACCAAATAACTAGAGTTACATTTAGATAATAAATTACTAGAGTTAAAAAATGTAATATGTCATGCATGAGGTCATAGGCTTAGGTTCAATGCATTTCAATTAAGGCATGTGGCAAAGATAAGGTGAGAGTTAGGACATTTGTCCAAGCTAATATAGTGACAAATTGCATGGTTTAATTGAAAAGAGGGAGATATTAGGTTATTTTGGGTAGATATCATACATTGCGGTAAATAAACAAAAAAATCGGTATTCGTTTGAAATGCCGGTAAATCAGAAAATTATTTTGAAACCATTAAAATCATTAATAAAAAGTATAAAATAAAAGTGACACCTTAACTCAATAAAATTTTTAATGTTTGAAAATCATTCGATACGTATTTTGGAGCGTATCGGTCCCCGTTGACAATTCATAAACTAATTTTATTACCTTAATAACTCTCACTACTTAATATCTTAAATATCATAAACTACGAAGAAAATTTTGGATGTCACAGATATATACCGGATGCATTGTCGTGCTGGTCACCCGCCGCAAAACATACTTTGGCGTCTATTTCTTGAGTTTGAGTCTATGAGTTCTTTTCAATGTAAAACTTGTCGGTTTGGTAAAGATTATAGAGTCTCTTTTCCTTCCTACATCTAGAACCGTGTATCTAGTCCATTTGAGCTTGTTCACTCAGATGTTTGGGGTTCGTGTCGTGTGTCTGATATCTCTGGATTAAGATATTTTGTTACATTCGTGAATTTTTCCTGAATGACTTGGTTATTCTTAATAAAAGACCGTACGTAAATTTTCATTTCTTTCGATTGTTCTATTGTGAAGTGTTGAATCAATATAATATTTCTGTCAAATATTTACGATCTAGATAATGCTAGAGAATATCTTGTTGCAACTTCTGGTTTCCAGCCATTTCTTGATTCTCATGGTATTATTCATCATAATGGAGTCGTCGAACGTAAAAATCGGCATCTCCTTGATGTTGCCCATTGCCTCATGTTTCACATGTATCTACCTAAAACCTTTTGGGGTCATGTTGTTCTTATAGCATGTTATTTAGTTAATAGGCTTCCAACTTCTATTCTTTAGGGGGAGACACCGTTCTCTACTTAACATCCAAATCGTCCTCTCTTTTCTTTACCTCTTCGGGTCTTTGGGTATGTCTGTTTTGTACATTGTCTTACCCTAGGTCTTGATAAAATGGATCCTTGTGCTGAAATGGGATACTCTCGGACTCATGAGGGATACAAATGTTACAATTTTACTCGTCGTCGTATGTTCGTGTCTGCGGATGTGACCTTCTTTGAAGACCAGCCATATTTTACTTCTCTGGCGGTTCCCATGGCATCTGGTGACGGTAAGGGTTGTGTCATACCAACGATTCCACTTCCTTCAGCTTCTCCAGCTACATCCACAGGATTTCAATTTGCTGACCACACCTATCATTGATGCGGTACAGTCCCTACTATAACAGTGCAATCTTTACCAACACCTGATTCATCTATTCCCCCATTAGTTACAGTGCCAGCCTCTGATCTTGATCCCGATCCACCCATTGCTTTTCGAAAAGGTACACACTCTTGTGATGATCGTCCTGTTGATCGTTATGCTGCTTAACCTGGTCTTTTTGCTTGTGTTTGCACGCGTCATCCTATTTCTAAATTTCTATCCTATGATCGTTTATCTCCTACCTTTTTTTGCCTTTGTCTCGTTGTTGTCCTTTGTTTCTATGACTAGCAGTGTTGCTGAAACTCTTGCTCATCCGAGATGGCATCGTGCCATGGAAGATGAAATACATGCGCTAATTGAGAACTGAACTTGGTAACTTACTTCTTTACCTACCGGTAAGAAACCTGTTCATTGTCAGTAGGTTTTTACTGTTAAGGTTAATCCGGATGTCACTCTTGACCGTTTGAAGGCATAGTTGGTTGCAGAGGGGTATACTTAGACTTATGATGTCGAATATGATGACACTTTCTCTTGGGTGGCCAAAATTTCATCTGTTTGTGTATTTAGTACATTGGTTGTGCGATTTGACTAGCTACTTCATCAGTTAAATGTGAAAAATGCTTTTTTATATGGTGATCTGGCCGAGGAGGTCTACGTGGAGTAACCACCTGGATTTGTTACTCAGGAGAGAATATGGTATGTCATTTGCACAAGGCTTTTTATGAACTTAAACAATCTTCTTGTGCTTGGTTTGGTAGATTTAGTAATGCAATTCTCAAATTTGGATTAAATTGGTGTAAGGTAAATCACTCAGTTTTCAGCTTTGTCTCTCAGCTGATTGTATCCTTCTAGTCGTATATGTGGATGATATCATCAGTACAGGCAGTGATTCAGGCGGTATTAAGAAACTTAAGCAATTTATGCATATAGAATTCAGTACTATAGATCTTGGACGTCTTCGATATTTTCTTGGTATTAAAGTAGCCTACTCATATGTCGGTATTAGTTTATCGCAACGGAAGTATCTACTTAACATTCTTGATGAGGTTGGATTCCTTGGAGCAAAATAAGTCGATACCCCTATGGAGCCCAATGTAAAACTTGATGCAGAACATTGAGATTACTACATGATCCAGCGAAGCATCAAAGATTAGTTGGTAAATTAAACTATCTTACGGTCACAAGACCGGATATATCTTTTGCCATCAATGTAGTAAGCCGGTTCATAAGTTCTCCCCGTACTACTCATTGGGATGTTGTGCTTCGAATCGTCAAATACTTGAAGGGAACACTAGGCAAATGACTATTGTTTAAGAACTATGTTACTAAATACTACAGGCTTCTCTGATGCCGATTGGGCTGGATGTCCTATTGATAGGAGATCCACTTCAGGTTATTGTGTATTTCGTGGAGGTAATTTGGTTGCGTGGAAGAGCAAGAAACGACATGTAGTTTCCCAATCAAGCGTTGAAGCCGAATATCGAGCTATGGCACATGTAACAGGTGAATTGCTATGATTGAGGATGTTCCTATTAGAGATTGGAATGTCATCGTCAAATCCATCAGTTTTATATAGTGATAGTCAATCCGCTATTCATATTGCATCTAATCTTGTCTTCCATGAGCGAATTAAGCACATTAAGGTTGATTGTCATTTTGTGCGAGAAAAGGTTCATAAATAGGAGATTATTTGTGACACCCTGGATTTAACTCACTCGACGTATTGTCCGTTTTAACCCGTCCCATACTGATCCTCATGGTTTTGTCCTTTGGCGTACAAGCGGGCACTTTCCCAGGAGGTCGCCCATCCTGGTAGTGAGCTAGCCCGGGCTCGCTTAACTTTGGAGTTTCAAAGCACAGCTTGCAATTACGTTAAAAAGCGCCTCCGTGAGTTAATTTCAGTTTTTACGTATATATTTCAAGATCGCTCTCCCCATGTTCGGTGCACAGTTCGGTTCATTCCTGCCCCCTTCACCATCCTAGAAGCCTGCCAGGAGCCGCTCCTTGTCCAGACCCTCTGGCCCCAGCAACCACTCCCCGCCCTCATCGCACCGGGTCGTTACATTATTCTTCAAAACATACAGACAAAGGATCAACTCGCAGACATTTTTACTAAATCTTTACGGGGGAATAGAGTGAGTTTCTTATGTAACAAGTTGGGATTATTTGATATTTACATCTCAACTTGAAGGGGAGTATTGAAAAGTATTGTTAATAATAAGGGTAGAATAGTAATTCACGTCTTAGTAGGGGTTAAGCATATCTGTGTGTGTATAACCCTATTATGATTAAATGATGGAATATGATTATCTCTTCAACAAAGCATAAGGATATTCACAAGCTAAAGAAGAGATTTCATCAGAGATGTCTGTTGAAGTCATAGCAACTGGTTTTCTTACATTATCGAAAGCAGAACAAGCTTACACTAGCGGTGACATCGAGCGAATACTCTAGATGACAAGAAATGCATAACCTTAACCCACTTCATTTAGCGACACTACAGGTACGAAACTGCAACGCCTATTTCCTCAAAATCTCAGTAGTTTCCCCTGCCCAGTTCAGTTTCTCACGGGAATAAGGGAGTCTGAGCACTCGAGGTCGGCGTGATTGAAAGGGTGATCACCCTCTGCATCAACCGCACTGTTGAAGTAATCACCCTTACCATCCAGAAGTGGTCTAGACTCCCTAATGCAGTTCCATTTGTGTCTCTGCATCGCATCCGCTTCCTTGCTCGGTTCCATGTTCTCTTCGAAACTTGTCCCGGATCGGTAAATCTCGAGCGAAGCATCATCACAGCTCGAATTCTCTGTTACTTTGGCCGAACCGGGAAATACTCTTGCTTTGTCGGTGTTTTGCTCTGAAGCTCCGGCATTCTTTGTCAGCTCTCCCTCTGGGGCTTCGTTCTCCTGGTTTTCAGGCTGAGAATTGCATCTTCCATAGGGTTTCAACGAAAAATCTTCTAGGATGCTCTGCGTCGAGCAAGCCCGCTGGCAGAAACTTCCGAATCCTTGGATCCCCCGGGTCAGTTTCCGAGCTCGCTCCCTCTCCTCCTTGAGAAGAGTCCCTTTCTCTAGGAGCTTCAGTATTCTCTCCGATTTCTTTCGGACTGCTAGACCCCAGTTGAATCTGCACATTCAAGGAAACAGCTTATGGCATATGCCATCAAAAGAAGAAAAGAGCTCATCTCGGAATAAAACAACAGAAAAAAAAACCAAATTCAACTCAATCCGCATCTCAGATATTAAGAACCCCATCCTAAAAAAAAAGCCTAATTCGCGTCTTCATTATGCTTTACCGTAAGCTTCCCTTGTATTTTCTAGTTCTTATTGCACGTTCTGAGCCTGCCAAATTGTCATTTTTCCCTTTTGGTTCGCAAAGGAGAGGCAAAAGTGGATGCACAAAATGGAAAACGCACCCCTTCTCATCAATATATTGGAAGCTCCCGGCTTGCGCGATGATGTCTTTATCGCTCTGGAATTCCTCTGCCACGCTCTCTGGTCCATGGGTCAATAAGTGCTCGAGCACAATCAGAGAGTTATAGGAGATCCTCCAGTTCTTTTTGTCAGATCTGGACAAGCTGAATCATAACCCAAGTTTCACAAGAGCGAAAAGTCAATTCGTAATTCTCGTTAATGGGGAGGATCTAAAGATCTTTTGCATGGGACAAAGAACATGGAAATAGAGGAAAAAAGGCAAACCTGTCGTGCAATATATCCACGATCCTCCAGTAATCGTCAACTTCAAAAGCTGCCTTCGAGATTCTACCCAGCGTCCGTGTGTCCGGCGAACCCCATGAATTTCCATTGATAGCGTCCTCGGTCAACCTTCGAAAATCAAAATCCAACAATAGCAGAAATAAGGGGAGATCAAGCTCCGAAAAAGGGTCCGCAAAGCACCCAAAAATGGGGAAAACAAGAGGAAAGAAACTCACAGCTGAGCCGGAGTGACATCCGTGAGGACCAATCTGGCGGTCTTGATCTTCTCCTTCAAAAAGAAGGAGGCTTGCTTCTTGAACTCGTGGAACAAAGGGTTGCCCATGTTTGCATTGCTTCTGCTCAAGATCGACATTGCTCTTGGGATCGAAGAAGACGAGGGACTAGAGAATTTTCAGATCAAGACTTTGGAAGATGGGAGTCAGTACCTAACGCAAAGTGAAAAGGCACAACTAATCCAGTGACATCAACGTAGAAATTGTCAACTATGGGAGAGACACAAAGTGGTGATTTTTTTGGAAGGGTGTCCTTGGATGATGAGATCAAATGTTGGAATCACAATTGAGAAAAGTGGGGCGTGCGTAGATCTCGCCACATGTAAGCTGTTGAGGGAGATGAAGTCAACATCTTGATCTATATTTCAAGTATTTATAGCCTTTGTTTTAGGCTTTGTTCGGTTTGAAATTGAATTTGAACTCGAGCTTTCTGCATTGCTGTCTCCCCCAACTTGGGTGGCTAGTGGAAACCGAGTCAAAAAAACGAGCGAATCCATGGTGGGTTTACAATGGTAACATGAGTGAGTCTCCGCCCCCCAAAATAAAACTTGTTGATTTTCTAAGTTTGATTATCGATTGCAAGCTTCTTAAAATATGAAAGTCGTGTCATGCGAAAGTAATTCCTCACGGATCTTTCGATTAATATGTGGACGGCTTCTGTTTTTTTTCTCGGCGAGAAGAGATGGACGTCGTGATTTGATTCGTATTAGATAGCCGATCTGCGATCTCTCCTAACGCAATGTACCAAATGAGGGAGCCAAAAATATCTGACTGATCTTCGAACCAATTGGTTGCACTTCGCGTCCGCTCATGTTTGGGAAGACACGGGAGAAATGAAATTGAGAAAGGAACTAAGGTATATAAGAGGTTGAGGACAATACAGTGAAATTACTCGATTAGTCCTAAACTTGCTGTACGAATGCCAATTTAGTCTTAAACTTTTTAATTTTATCAATTTTATCCTAAACCTTTGGCCGAATGCAGTACTTCCGGTCAATTTTCGCCAAAAATCACTAACATAGATATCGCCGGTCATTCTATGTGGCACACTGCCGCATCGGTGATTTCTGGCGAAAAGCCGCAAAGACTATATTGAAATTTCATATAAAGGTTTAGGATAAAATTGACAAAATTAAAAAATTTAGTATTGATTTATCGTCCGTATACCGATTAAACAATTTCCCCAAGGACATTACTTAATGTTAAAATACAAAACATCTTTTTGACCGCCCTCTGATAGTTTATTTAAAGACGAACGTCTATATACTCAAATTCGAGGTGGCATTAGAGCCAAATAATTTTGGGTTGGCAAGCATTTGCATTATTGAAATATCTCACGTCGCTCGATTTTAGGATTTATATGTTCTTCATATACGTGCGGTCCCCATTCACTTATCGACTTCGAGCTTTTGGGTTGGGACTTTCTAACGTGCATCATGTTTTTCGTTCATCCATCGGCCTCGGTGCAAGGGATGCTTCTAAAACGTGAAACATAATTCTTGCCATTCTCTAGTGATTTGGAACAAGTCGTTATGTTGAACGCTTCTGGCATTCAGCAGCGTTTGGAGCAAAGGATCACCGAATGATGTTTTTCAACGCAAGCCTGCACAATTAATAAAGGGATCAGCCCGCTAGAACCCGATGGCTTTTTCTGGGCTTTGGTCCTTGTAATTAGGCCCATGGTTATGCTAAAACAAGCGCTTGGACCAATGAGAATGCAGGATACTTGCTGTACTGCTATCACCTTAGGATGCTAACTATGCACGTTGGCCTTCTTTCGACGATGGAACATCATATCCGATTACTAATTCAGCTTATCTAAAGAGATTATTAACTTAACTTTGATCCAGAAAGTGGGAGATTTGACTCGAGTTTAACCATTAATCTTATCTAAGCTTACGCGATAAATATTCCTGTGACTTATTATTTATAGAATTTCCAAGAAGGATGAACTTTCTGAAAACCGCACGAAAGTCTTCGCTGACTTTCAGGTTGACCTGGATTGCGCAGGATTCTGGTGAAGTGCGAAAGTGCTTGGAAAGAAGATTGAAGGTTAATCGAAAGAGCTAAAGAAAAGAAAAAGAAAAGACAAAGACAAAATAATCGTGCGCATCTAAAATCTCTAAAAGCGGAGTTTTAAGCCTTCAAAGTACGTCGAGTGTTGCGGCCGTGGATCTGATAATCGCGACGGAAGCTCCGGTTCGAGGGTTAAAACCCTGTCGAGCGGGTAGGGATTAGACCCACATGATGTCTTTTGTGGTTTAGTATTTAAGCGATGTAGGTTATATTTCGAGATGGATATGTGTATATGATTAGGGGTGGTGGCATGGTTACGGGATAGAACCAGAATTGGGGAACCGGTTCCAACGGGTAGGAACCTAAAACCTGGAATAAGTCTTTGTGCATTTTTTGTTCTATATTTTCGCGCAATCCTACGATATTCCATGGTGTCCGATGATGAGTGTGTAATCCGGAACCAATAGTTTGGGCTTCCATTTCGAGCAATATCCATGACTGAGACTTTACTTTATTATTGTTTCATATTCTTCATATATTTAAATATAAGTTGCAGTGGTCATTAAATGTGATAATTCATTGCAATCGTTCAATTAAGAATACTTGTGGAACCTAAATAGACCTTCAAAAACGATCCTGGAACTTATGACGGAGTAGGTTCCAAGTTCCAGAGTTTGAGAACCAGTTCCGATGGGCATGTTCCAGGTGGAACCTTAACCGATTCTGAAACCGCTCACTCCCTGTACATGACTTTCCTTGTAAACGGCACCCACCATCTTTCAAGAAAAGAAAAGAAAAGAAAAGCACACGATGATAATCTAATCGTCACATACTTATTTAAATGCGAGGTGGTCGGTTCGCCGACCGCACAGCGACGTGGGAACAAATACCTTCACGTGCTCGCACGACATAAACATACGGGGGAATATTTCTCGCAAAAGTCGGATGTCTGCAAATGTCGACACCAATCAGATTGAATTTTCCCCCTCGGCTTCCGCGTCTGGTCGTACGAAGGGCAACGGACAAGGTCGGAGCCGGCATAGGCGAAGACCTCACATGTGCTTTTGTAGATTGATTTTTTCCTTCACGTTCCCCCCTCCATAAAATGACTGGCCGTCCCCTATAACGAGAGGAAGAAAAATTCGTTAGTGTTTGTGATATGCACATTGCCGACTACGGCGTGTGACGAAATTACTAGACATGTCAAAATGGATCACAGATGTAATTTTTAAAAAACTCATATTTGATGAATTGAGTCATCATAAATGGATTTAGAATGTCAAAACCAAAAAAAGAAAATATGGGTATTGAATGGGTCCGCAGTTTTCCAAATTCAACCCATCTTTGTGTCTCTCTCTTCACCCTCTATGAGAAAACAGTGGACTCCCCAGACTCTTCCAAGTCCGTAGAAGTTTTGGTGGGGCCGACTACACCCTTAATAAAAATATCAAGACGGCTTCGTTTTTTCTCCATTATTTTTTTTATTGTAAGTTTCGTGTGCTAGTTATTGGACTATGTCTTTCCTTGGTTGCATTTGGCATTTTTATTTTTATGTAATATTCTAATCTTAGTTCTTCCCAGTGCTAATCCATAGTCGGCATAAATCATCTTCTTCGGTATCTTACATTCCATTTGATTAAAACTTCAATTCCTCCACTTTATTTGTTGTCGTAATTTCTTAAATTCACTACCGGATACTAACTTTCTCTTATTCTTCATTGTGAGCCAATACAAAAATTGAAAATTCCATGTGATGTTGAAAACCAACTCTTTAGCATCTTATTGTCGAAATAACGATTTTACCCACATAAAGAGCTTAAGGTGAGTTAACTAGGCTGATACCAATTTTCATAGGTTAGATTAAATATGGAATTATTTTAGTAAATAGGTACCAGTCGGGTATGGGTCACTAAATTTATATTGTACTAAATTGATAAATTTGGATTGGATCATTTTCGACACAACTCAAATCTAACATGACCCACCTATTTGACGGGCCTAGTAATTATCGATCACGCACTCTCTTTCCGTTCTATTTTACGAGATATCATAACATTCCGACACCATGTTAGCTAGTGACACGCGATAACCCATTAAAAGATTCCAATTCGAGTATTCTTTTCGATCCGTCCTTTGAATTCCATATGACTAATTGCTTCTTTAAGCTAGGGTCACTATGCCCTCATTTCAGCAGCTATGCCCCCGTTAGCCATTTAATGGTGTGCTCTCTTCTTGCTTTGTACCCGCAAAAAATAAGGAAGAGGAAATACACTATTGGAAGAGATACAGTAACCGGAGGAAGAGATTATGGATTTGGAACAGAATGAAGAGCAATTAGCACTATCTCTTGGTGCCATCCTGGGGTTAACTGCGGAGTAATTACGCAGAAAATTAGAAATGGAGGAGAACCTAACATAACCGGTGACAGCTGATTGCCATTGCCCTGAGCGCATTAAAAAGTTAGGTGAAATAGGATTTGTTTGGGATCCATACACGATCTATGCAGTCGACTAGACACCTATCTTTTGAACGTTCCATTTCATATCGAAACAGATAGAGAGATTTAACATAAAATAGGCCTCCCCCCGCCATTGACACGCGGGTGAGCCCCGCTCGATCCGCGATTAGGAAGTGTCTTAGTGTGTTGACTCCCGAGCGTACCTGAATTTGCCTTCATTTTTCGCGATGAAAGATCCAATGTCATGCACACAAACTGGACAGATGAAGAAGTTACGACCTGTTTTTCCCCCCGCTGTTGACCTTCTCACCTTCCTCATTGAAATAACTTCAATTGCACTCAGCCAAAATATAAGAGCAACAGAAAATCAGTTGCATTTCGTCTTACAGTTACTGTGTTTTACAAATATTTTTGTCTGTCAAGTTTTTGGTTGGCAATATAAAGCGTGGAAAAACCATGTCATCTTGCTAATGTAGGAGCAAATGTGTGAAGCGTTAACTTGCTAAAGCAATGAAATCGATGTTGACACCTAAATTTCGGCGCATCATTTAGTGGTTAATTGCATAGATTTGGTTGCCTAATTTGTGCTTATTGATATCTAATTTTGCATATTTGGATAATAAGCATTATTTCAATTAGGATTTTATTTCCTTTTTGAAATCTTGGATATCTATTACTTTTCAAATTTGGATAGAATTTAGAATTTTCAAAATCTTTTGAATATATCCAAGATATTTAAGATATCTAAATTTTTCAAGATGTGATCGATTAGGAAAATTTCCTAATCCGCAATCCACACGTGAAAATAAATCTATCTATCGGGCTTTAGATAGAGTTATTTCCATATGGTATTTCGAATTTTAGGATCGATGCGTCGAGCTTGGATCGAAACTTAATTCGAAAGATTTAGTGTTATCTTTTTTTTTTTTACTGGATTTTAATTTCGAATTTCGATAAAAAAATACCAAAAATATTACTCTAGAATAGGTTAATTTCTTTAGT